TTATTGACTATGCCACTGGAACTAACAGCCGCAGGACTCGTTATCAACTATTGGACAACGTCGATTAATGCTGCTGTGTGGATTACTATTTTCCTAATTGCACTTCTTATTATCAATTTATTCGGTGTTCGTGGCTATGGAGAAATTGAATTCTTTATGTCTCTCATCAAAGTGATTGCGATCATCGGATTCATTATTCTTGGTATTGTTCTTATTTTTGGCGGTGGTCCACATCATGAATATTTAGGAGGAAGATATTGGCGTAGTCCAGGTGCATTTGCAAATGGATTTAAAGGTGTATGTTCTGTTTTTGTTATAGCCGCTTTTTCCTTTTCAGGTACGGAATTAGTTGGATTAGCAGCAGCTGAAACAGATAATCCTGGAAAGACTATTCCAGCAGCAACAAAACAAGTCTTTTGGAGAATAAGTCTATTTTACGTTGTATCATTAACAATCATTGGCTGTTTGGTACCTTATACTTCCAAACGTCTTTTAAGTGGATCGTCGTCTTTTGATGCCACGGCATCACCGTTCGTCATTGCCATTGAAGATGCCGGCATTAAAATATTACCATCGATATTCAATGCCGTGATACTTTGTGCTGTACTTTCAGTCGGCAATGCTTCTATTTATGGAACATCTCGGACTCTATGTGCACTTGCAGAAAACGGCCAAGCACCAAAAATATTTAGTTATATTGATCGTAAAGGCCGTCCAATTTCAGCTGTCATCTTATCAATGCTCTTTGGATTAATTGCTTATATTAATTGTACAAAAGCTGGTTCAGTAGTATTTAAGTGGCTATTAGCTCTGGGTGGTTTGTCGACTTTCTTCACCTGGAGTTCTATATGTGCATGTCACATAATGTTCCGATTAGCATGGAAAGTACAAGGTCACACTTTGGATGAACTAGCTTTTAAGGCACCTTTCGGTATTTGGGGAAGTTGTTTTGGTCTTCTACTCAATATATTGTGTCTCATTACAGAATTCTATTTAGCTGTGTGCCCGTTAAATTCTTCTTCAAGTGCCGAAGCATTTTTTCAAGCTTATCTTGCTGCTCCTATTATTCTTACCTTCTATATAGTATGGAAAATATGGAAACGAACACCATTTATGCGACCTAGTACCATAGATCTAGACACTGGAAGACGTTTATTCGATAAGCAGAAAATGATTAATGAACAAACAACAAAACCAAGATATTAACTTCTATGGAAAACGATATTTCACATACTCTTCTGAATTCTTGCTCATTGTATATACTCTAAGTTTCAATATAATAAATTTCTGATCATATTACATATTTTGGTTTATTTTATTTTAGTAAAAACTTGTAGCATCAATAGCAGGGACAGCACATGTTTTGTTATAAAATAAGAAGCGGAATGTCTTTATTATTTTTTCGTTTATGTAGACAAGAAAAGAATATAAAATTTATCGCTGATGGAAAACAAACACACATATGAAAAGATATATGATAAAAAAAAGAAAGTCCTCTGCAATTTGTTTTATTTGAAGATTTTTCCTTGATTAAATTTTTTACCATTATGTTCACCTTCCCAAAGAAAATATTGTTTAACTAATTCTTTCGTATTTTCATCGTCAACAGATAATCTCTTCCATGTATATGATTCAAAATCAGCTCGCCAATCTGTTGAAAGCTAAATAAATACAAAATAAAATGAAATAAATTTCAGAAGTTTTGTTTTACTCCAAGAGCAAGTTCATGTCCACGCCATACCCAAATACCAGCAATTGTATTATTATTATTTTCACCAAAAATACACATACTAGCGAATGCATTTTTACGTAGTTTTTCTAAACGTTGATAAAATCCTGATACTAAATTACATGTCATAAAGATTTGTTTTAAATCTTCAGGATATTTATATTCACAAAACCATAATGAATAATGATCCTTATCAAAATTGTTCCAAAAATATGGTATAGCTTTTTTATCAGTATCTTCATTTGAATAAACACGTTTAAATTCATCCATATTAAATGTTGGTTTAGGCATACTAGCAGATGGATTTATTTGTTTTGGTTTATCTTCCACATCAGATGTTGTATGAGCTTTTCTTCTTCTCCTATTTCTTTTTCTCTTTTCTGCTGTTTCTTTAGTTGTTTCATCTAAATCTTGTGAGAAATTCTTTGGATATGGTTCAGTTTGTGGTATATGATCACAACGTGAAAATTCAGCATATTTCTTTGCTATAAACAAATTATTAGAATATTCGTTTGTTCTTAGATACTAGATATGATAATACTGCACTGAGTCACTAATTTCAGAATTTAGATTTTATCATGTCTCTTTGAGGATGTGAGTGAGTCTCTCTTTCCTTAATAAGCACTCACAGTCACATCCATCCTTTTTTAATCTTCTGCATCAGTATTTTTCTTTTAGAAATTATTTATTAAAAAACTTACTTTTTGATGAAATAATTGAAATTTCGTGAATAAATGATTTTGAGTTTTGTCGAATAGAAATCTTTAAAGGCTTCTTTAGTTCTTCTGTAATTTCTATCAATTGATTCTTTAAATAGTTTAAATTCATTTCATTAAATTCATTTTCTCCATGAATTTGTTTTATTTGTTCTGTTAGATCTTTGAAGTTCATTTCAACATCATTAATGAATGTTTGTGAAGATTTAATAACATTTTCTCTACAATATTGTGCTTTTTGTTGAATTTTTTTAATTGAATTTGTTTCCCATCGATTAATTTGTTCTATTAATGAAAGATTACGTGGATTTTGTTTTTGCTCATTAATTATATGTTGAAATTGATCATAATCGTTAATAATATGATTTAATTCTTCATTTAGTATTTGTTGATGTTCGTTTAAATGCGTTAAACAAAATTCTTTTGAGCATCCTTTACAAGAATATGTAATTTTGTCTTTATTACATTTAAAACATTGTGTTTTGTTATTTATCATTGCCATGCCTTGAAATAGAAATATATAGAAGAAATGAATCTTCTTATCTACTTTTTTAGATATGAACTCAGTTACTCAATGAAAATAAAAATGTTGTTCGTTAGTAAAAGAAACTGAAAAAGAATTATTTTTATGGCAGAAAATCCCACTGATAAAACAGGTATAATATTGAAGATAGCTGAACTAAAATTGGAAGTTGATTTCTCTTTAATTTCAATTGAAAATCTAAACTATTTTTGTAATGTTTTCTTAATGAAAAAAGGTTTTTTTATTGTAGATTTGGGTGTAGGTAAAGATCATCTATGTGATGAAAATCGGATAAAAATCGACGATTTAATCACAATATATCGAGCTTTTTTTACCTAGTAAAGACGATCCTTTTGAGCCTTCTCATTAACATTTCAATACTTTTGTCTTTTCTCACACAGCGACTGTTGATTTGTACGAGATGCGTTTGTCTATTTTATGACTGTTCTCTTGTAAATAATATTAAAAAGATAACAATATATGAATAGAAAAAACATACAAGTTAGCGTTTGTTATTCATATCTCGATCTCTTTTATTTCAGCATTTATGTGTCAGAAACATAGACTATTTTGGGAATAAAATTCAGATAGACAACTGTGAACTGAAAATAATTAAAAATAATAGGGAAATATGCAGGTACACGTATAATAAACAAGCAAGCATCAATGTCTTTTTTTCGATTGGTTAAAACCTATCAATCAGTAAAAAATCACGACTAAGCTTCTATGGTATAGTATGTGACATCTATTATTAAATCCGTTACAGCTTAAGACCTTGTTCAGAATTCCTATTTTCTCTTCTGTTAGTCAAAACATAATAGATTTAGTAAAATACTAACTTGGTCGCACTTTTGTAGTAACGTGACAAAGATAGACATTGATCTGCACCCATAACTTTATGCCCCAGATCAATAATATATCAATGTCTCATTCATTCAACTATATCAGCATGTTTATTTTGATTCAGTCATATTTTTATCATTATCATCTCTCCCGTTCTCAAGATAGCTGTTGTATAATATTCTCTTTTGATTATTTTTCATATTGTTTCAGGTAACTAACTTACCAAAATGAAAGAATATTAAAGAATGAAAAGTAAACAGAACAGAGGAAAATAAAATTTTCGAAAGTTTCATTTTGTTAATTGATGAAACTGAAAATCCTAAATGAATTTTTCAACAACGGAAAATCCATCGAAATAAATAATAGGCTGCATGTAGGTACCATCTTCAACTCATACTCACACTCACATCCTCAACAATTATTTATAATTTTCGTCGTCTTTATTTATTATATTAAGATAACAGACATGTTGAGATATAGAGTTGAAACATTGTTACTTTTTCATTTTTTATTCTTATCACGTTAAGATGGTTGCTCTGTTGCTGTTAACCACATTGTTGATGATATCTAGTAGTGTTACTGCTTTTAATACTATAGGATATGCAAATGCTCAATATAGTATTCTCTATAATCAATATCGTGATTTATCATTCCAGTCGTATCCTTTTATGGGATATCCATTACAAAGAGATTGGATATCATTACCAATTCTTCATAGTTTTACAAATGGTTTCTTTTCAGGAATATTTTGGAATTTATTAGAAATCAATGCTACTACAGATATTTTGAAAATGGCAACTGATTTAATGCTTCCATTAGCTCCTGTTGCTAATATTACAGATACACATGATGTTGGTTTTGTCATCATGTCAAGTTTTGGTCATGCATATCGTTTATTAAAAATACCTGAATATTTACAAATTATTCTTACAACTGCTAGTTCATTATCTACTCGATATTCACCTATTGTTCGATGTACGAGGTCATGGGATAGTAAAGAAGGTTTTTTAGTTATTATTGATAATATGATGAATTTAGAATTATTATTTGAAGCAAGTAATCAAACAAATAATCAAACATGGTATAATATGGCTTGGCAACATGCTAATCGAACGATGTATGAACATTTTCGAACAGATAATAGTACTTATCATGTTGTTGAATATAATGAAACAGGTGGAAATGTTCTTAGAAAATATACTGCACAAGGTAGAAAAATGAAAATTCATACTAATCGGATTATTTTTATTTTTCTTGACAGGTTATGCTGATTGGTCAACATGGTCTCGTGGTCAAGCTTGGGCTGTACATGGATTTACTATTGCTTATCGTTATACTAAATATCAACCATTTCTTGATAAAGCTATTGGTGCAGCGAATTATTTTCTTTCTCATCTTCCTAGTAGTACAGATTTAATTCCATATTGGGATTTTGATGCTTCTCATAATTCAACAATTCCTTATCAACCACGAGATACTTCAGCTGCAGCTATTTAATGCGATGCGAATAGCAGAAGCATTTATGTAGTCCTGCGCGAGTTTTTAATGCGATGCGAATAGCAGAAGCATTTATGTAGTCCTCCGCGAGTTTTCTTGCTTTTTAATGCGATGCGAATAGCAGAAGCATTTATGTAGTCCTTCGCGAGTTTTCTTTTTGTTAATGCGATGCGAATAGCAGAAGCATTTATGTAGTCCTGCGCGAGTTTTCTTTTTATTTTTTTTTCTTTCTTACTTTCTCGACGTACGCATTCAAAGTTGTCATTTTGTGTCACAATTATCTCAGCAATGAAGCATCAGAAAATACTAGTTTAAACGCAATAAGAAAATATCGAGATCGAACTAGTATCCGTCGTTTTCTAATTTTCAACAGGCTGTTTAGTTCGTTTACAGGAAGCGTCACAAAAACACGATTTTGACTTTTTCCGATTTCGAGATAATTAAAACGAAAAGTAAAAGCAAAAGTTAGGCGCCATTTTTCTCTAACAATTGTTTTCACAGCTGAAACTACAGCTGATAATAGATAATGAATCATCTAGATAATATTATGAAAATCTTAAAATCGTTATTTCGAAATCCTGCTATTCGCATCGCATTTCGTAGACGAGTGAAACTCGAATACCATCTAGTTTTTTTTCTTACTTTCTCGACGTACGCATCAAAGTGGTCATTTTGTGTAACCATTATCTGAGCAATGAAACATCCGAAAATACTGGTTTAAACGCAGTAATAAAATATCGAGATC